ACATCTCAGACTCAACTTGTTGCAAGTTCTCACCTTTGGCAAAAGAAAAAAAGCAAAAAGGGAGAAGGGGAAGTTTCCTAAAAAGGAAGTTTTTGACAAAGTAGAGGTAAGTGGGAAAGAGTTTTTTTTTTTTTTTTAAAGTTAAATGGCATTAGATGCAAATCTTTATTGATACTCAATATTACATTACATCAAACATCTTTTATAATACATTGACTACAACTAAATGCTAACCTATTAACTTTCATCTGATACCCAGAAACCCGTCACTTAATGACTTTTCTTTGTGATATCAGGAGGCTATAGGGGATAAAAATTCTATTACTAGTTTTAAACTACTTAATCTATAGGGCTTATATACTTATGAGGGGCTTATACTGTTAATTATCTTTATATAGATTATCTTTCACATCACACCTCTTTCAATCTATCACATAAGCAGAGAAGAATCTTCGACACAAGCATATACTCCCTAGTGAATGCTCCGGTTTTGACCGCTGGTTGGACACTACCAAATTCAGGAGCCATTTTGGCCAAGTGGGGCATGACTCCTTAAGGATCTTTATGTAAATGTGGATTCACTATCACTTACGGATCAATTCTTAAACTCCTAGTAGACACTCCAGATTCAGACTGGTTGGTATAGGCTGCCAAATCTAGGAGTCATTTTGACCAATCAGGGCACAACTTCTATGTACTTTGTCTTACCGCATGGCTAACCGTATTATCCCATAATGGCACCGGATTGGTGCTCTTTTCAAGGCTCTCTATTTTGGAAATTAACAGTGGGAAAGGCTTACCTGGATTAGTTAAGATGGAGTACAGCCCAGTTTGTACTTCCAAATGTATGGTTGGTTCTTGGCAACTTGTCTGATGATCATCGTACCACTTCCAGACGATCAACGTGCCACACACCTTTTTTTGGAGATCACAATCCTATTGTCCTATTGGATCAGCATGTGAATGACTTCTTATAGGAAACAGGGCTCTTATAGGTTATAACTCCAGATATCATTTTTGATTCGGTTCAATCGCCTTCACCTGGGATTGAACTGGTATCTTGTGATCTGACCTGTGGAGTATTAACCACTACACTATGGACCCACAGGTCAATAATTTTAATAAAAAATTTTAAAACATGTAAAATTATCTATTATATTATCAATTGTTATAAAAAATATATATAGTAGCAAAAAATATATTATAATAAAATATAAAACTTTAAAAAAGAAAAACCAGACATTTTCAAATTGAAAAAATATCCAGAATACAAGAAAACAGAAAGCTTAGATTATTTGATACACAAACATTGACAATATAAAATCACAGATAAATATAAAAAGATAATAAATGAAAAAATGAAAGAGTATCAAAAAAATCAAAATAAGGAGAAAGGAAAATAAGACTAAAAACCAAAAATATCATTAATTATTAATTCATAAAGTATAAAAAACTATATAGTGAAAGGAATTCTAACCAAAAAGATAATATGATACATATATCAGTATGCAAAAAAGAAAACAAAAGAAGTATGCAAAAGAATTATAGAAAAAACAACAAAAGTAATTAATAAACTGTGAAAAAAAAAATACAAAAAAATCATAGAATAAGAAGAGATAAACAATATTAACAAAGTGAATAAAAAAAAGTAAGGACATGGAATATACTAATCAAAAGTGGAAAGAAACAAAGAAGAAGAGGAAAAAAAACCTAATGAGAAAGTTATTAAAAAGATAGATTAAAAATATGGACAAAATGACAAGAAACAATTTTTATTTATTTATATACTAGTAACATTAACAATAATAATGCCTTGGCATATTAGTTTCAATCTCTATTCAATAGAAAAAGTTAATAGCAATAGCCAATATCTAAAAAAATCTTGATATAGTTTAATATACACTTATTAATTAATGTTATAGTATAGTTTATATATAGAAATGTATATGAATATATATAAATATTGACCTTAATAAAGTTTGTTAAGCAAGGTTTAGCTAGTTACAAATATATATATATATAACTTCAAAGTCTTTTGAAAAAAACAGAGTATTCTAAAAAAAATATATATAATCTTTATTTTGGAGATCTTTAGAGATCTCCATTGTATTAAATTTACTAATAATAGTAAGTACATATGCTAATAAATAATATAATTAATAATTAGTTATTATTTATTCTTTTTTCTTTTAACATAAGATTTTTTAGAGTTAGCATATAACATTATATAATTTTAGTAAACATTGGTTATTTACTTTGTAAATAGCTATTAATATATTGATAATGATGAAATATTTAATAAAAACCATTCATTTATTACTTGTTAAAATTATTTTGATATAAATAGTTTTTAAAAATTTCAAAAAAATTTCCTGATAAAAAAAAGACTCTTTTTCACTTCTTCTTCTATACTTGAAAATTTTCTTTTTAGGAAACTTTTGAGTTTACTTTTTTTTCACTTTCCTCTTTTCTTCTCTTTTTTTATTTCAAATCTTTCAAATCTTTTTATTTTTATTTTTCTCTCTTCTATATACTCTTCTATTCACTTCATCCCACCTCTTCTTTTTTTCTCTTTCCTATCAAAGTTAGGTTTTTCCTTCTTTCTGAAGGTTTTCTTTCTAGATCTCTTTCTCTTTTATAAACCCTGTTCTTCATAACATCACTTCTCTAGCCAGTTGGTCCTCTTTTCTCAAGACCATATTAAAAAGTGATTTTTTTTTCTTAAGATATGGGCTTCAGAATTTTTCTCTCTTCTATGGCCTTATAGAAAAAGAACAGATGATTTATTTCCTTCAAAAGATCAGCATGGTTATCATTATCAAATCCGGTATTGTTTATTTGTTAATGGTTAAACTAAATACATTTAAGAAACTGGTATACAACTATTATTATCTGAAAGTATCCAAAGAGTTGTGCCCTATAGTATTCAGAGTATATATATAATGTAAATTATTTTGCTGTTGACTCAATTCTCAAAATTCTCAAAAATAATTGTGTCATGATTCAATTATTTATATATTTTAATAGTGACACAATTAATTGTATCAAATAATTGCATCAATTGCATTAAGGATCTATGAATTTCAGCAATATATATAATCCAAAGTGAAATAGCAATCAATGCCAATATAGCTAACAATAAGCTAGATTAGTATACAGGTGTCATACTGGTGATTGGAGAAGTTAATAGAATAATATGTGAAGACCAGAGATTCTAGTTACCTCCACAACACGAGCTGGTAATGACAACGAAAGTTTCTCACTTATTCTTCTGACAATATAGGCTTATTGTACAAGGTTAGGTATCAATATCTTTAAGAAAATCTAATCTCACTACATGTTCAACACCTTTCTTAACAAATCATTACTTTATGTCTAACCTATTTTTCATACTTTCTGGTTTTATCTTATTCTAAAACCAAGATATACTCTTCAAAACTACTCTGACAACAAGATTAATTGCCACTTCTTAGCCTACAGTTCTAGTGATAGGTTTCAAAATAGGAGGTTTATACTAGGTAAAAATAGTAAAAGATTAATATTGCCAAAGAGTTACATTGGTATTAAAGACGATTGCCACCCTCTAGCCTTTAGTCTTAGTGATAGGTTCAAATGGAAGGTCAATACTAGGTGCAAATGGTAAAAGATCTGCTTTATTTTGATATATTTGATATTAGTATAACTTGGAATTAACTCTTGCCCCACTTGTTGTATATCAAGCCACAGTTGAAAAACAAGTATACCAATTCTAACTATGACTTGAAAACCAACCTATATATAGTGGCTACAGTACCTTTATATAGTTAGGTAATCAAATTCTCTAGGTAGCTAGACACTAGTCAAGGCATAATATAGGTTTTGAATTTCCTTTTTCTATATTCTTGAGTGGTGCTAAGAAACTCAAGTAGATGGGCCACAATTGTGAGCCTTGCATTAAACTCTAGCAAAAAGAGATGTATACTACACCATAAAGTTTATAAATCTTGTACTTGCAAGTCTAAAATTTATAATAAAAATAATGCGTTGGGACTGCCTGTTCCTTCAAAAAAAAAAAAAAAATTTCTTGATAAATACTTTTATATATATTAATAAAAATTTGATTTTGAAATTTCTGTTACATCAGAAATTCCAATTGATAATTGGTTAAAATCTTGAACTAATTGATTGACATAACAGAAATGTATTTTTGATATATTTGTTAAATTATTTAAATAATTAGAAAGTAGAATTATATTAAATAGATTATTTTTAACTAGTATAAATTGCAAAAGAACTTTATAAGTAGTTTTTTTTTTTTAATAGCAAAAAATATTTGAATTGTGTATTCACCTTTAAATAAAGAACTCATCTTTATATATTTATAATATTTTAAATTTAATTACGTATATTTTTTTTATAATCAATTAATCATTATTCTGATCACTAAAAAAAGGCTTTATTTTAACAAAATCAAACGAGAGTGCACATTAATCCTGTTAATGTCACATGATATATCATTTTTTGTTTCCGTCGACCCTTCAATCGTAATGATGTACGAAGAACCACAGCGACAAATTTAAAAATTCTGGTAAATAAATCGAGAGTCCTACACATATGAAAAAGTTACTTTAATGAGGAGTATATATTATACTATATATGTGTTCGTAATATTCAGTGTTGGAGTTGGAGAAGGAATAAAAAAAAATTTCTAACCTAAGTGTTGAGAAAGAAACTTTCACTATTCACAACTATTTTAGAATCTATTGTCTAATGTTTTCTCCATGATGTTAAAAACTCCCCCAAATTTTGGTATATTCTGTTTTGCTAAATAAAAATATATCGAATTTTCGATTTGTTAGATGAAAGTCTTTTTTTTTTTTTTGGTATACAATGTGTATGCGACGAAATTGCGAATCGTCCGTGATTCGTTAATTTTAACAAGATATATATTTAAGACAAATGTTCGCAAAAAAATGCTAGATGATAGTCCGTAAAGTTCGATTCCCTTTGATGGATCCAACCTAATTATTATCCGAGTCATCATTATGACTATCAACGCTACCATTCCCATTACTACTTAAAGTTCCAATGTTCGTATTAAGACCATTTCCTGATAAAGGTGCAATATTGGCGTACGGATTTGTGGTAACGATACCAGGACTGGTTGGTCCTACTAGTGGTGCAATACCATCCTTTCTCATTTCAACTTGGCGTTTATCATAAAATTCGAAATCATCGAGTATAGAAGTTTTGCTGCGATATTCGAAGAAAATCTTCAGCATCTCGCGACCGGGGTCGGGGAAAAGTTCTTGGGTATCGCGACTATTCGTGACAGGTTTGTTCTCGTTGTTCCTGTGTTGCAGCCAAATGAAGAAATGTATAAGTATTTACCAAATACGTAGAATAGGAGTTCGAAAGTATTAAAATTTCATTATACATACACAACTCTAATATGCCTTAGTTGACCATTGGGAATATCTTTAACAAATATCCACTTAACTTTAAATACACCCTTCCATTTATCCTGTGCCCAAACACTACTGCTGGTGGTGTAATCTACGGGGGTAAGCATTTGCGCCATGCCACAGAAATGCCCACTGAGAATATTCAGATGTGAATAAAAAATTATTTAATAGACTAAAAGTTTGGTAAAAAAAAATTCATTAATAATTTACCTGGCATTCACGCTGAAAAATAGGTAGATTGGGCCTTTGTCTGCACTTTCACGAAAAGCCTTATCCAGCCGACGATTACCAATTTCAGTACTAGCCCAAATGTCATACTAAACAACAATAGTCAAATAATGGGGATGTAATTCATTATTATATAATTTTTTCAAAATCTCAATGATTTGATGGCAAACCTTTAACGACTTGTGAACATCGTCTTCCGTATAAGACTTTATTACAAAGAATCTTGCCTATTTTTAAATTTGAATGTCATCAGATAAATAAGGAACTCGGATTTATAAATCATACCAGAATGTTATTAAAGCAAATCCGTTGCATTTTGATGAAAACTTACATGTATTGGCTTACAATTAAAACTTTTTGGATTATACCCCTTCGCTGCAATCCACGTGATCATATCTTTTTTGGATACACCTTGTGTCGCAGGAATGGTGATTGACCCCATACC